AGGAGCGCATTTAAGACTGCATTGTAAAAAGAATAAAACAACTCTATTTGGTAGAAAAAGTTAATTTGACAAATGAGAGAACTTTGTATCTTTAATCAAACTCTGACAAATAAATTCTAACCATTTTGTTCTCATGCAATATCGAACTCACCGTAGCAATTAAAAAATTACGAAAAACAATAAAACTCAATAAGTCATAATCCATTGCGAACTCTATTATCCTGTTAATCATAATTCACTGCGAACTCTATCATCCTGTTCATTATTTACTGCGAACTCTATCATTCTGTTGATAATTCACTACGAACTCTACCATCCTGTTCATAATTCACTGCGAACTCTATCATTTTATTCATAATTCACTGCGAACTCTATCATCCTGTTCATAATTCACTGCGAACTCTATCATCCTGTTTATAATTCACTGCGAACTCTATCATCCTGTTCATAATTCACTGCGAACCACGTGAATCAAAGCCAAAACCGTTGCTATGCTGTAAAGTCAGGCTTGCTAAAAATGTGATGAATTTCTAAAAGTTTTCGGCAGTTTAATAATAGTTCTTGAAAGTTTGAGGATTAAAGTTCTCAAGTTTAAACATCGATATCAATCATTCAATCATTCCTTTTTTATTTCTGCATCGTCGAAAAAATGTCACCTCTCTTCCTCCCCCTACCCTTCCATTCAAGGATAACCATGAGGGGGCGGAAACGTCATGTGTGTGTGTGTGTACTAAAAGAGTAGGGTTTCCAACGCAAGTGGATTTTACTTGCGCGTAATTGCGAGCCCTTGCGCGCAAGTGAATTTAACTGCGCGCAATTCCGTAATAATTGCGCGCAAATAAACGCAACGGAATTTCGTTTGTGTTTCAATTTTTTGATAAAATTCAATTCAAACTTATTGGCTCGCAATAAATGCAATTAATCATTGCCCAATTCCTTTCAACAACAAAAATTCAATTTAAACTTTGGTAGTGGCATACACTAAACTGAACTTCACTAACATTTCAGTCTCAAATGCTAGGAAAATTGAATTTAAACTTAATATTTTGTTTTATAATATTCATGTAGCATGATAACCAGAAAACTCTGGCATAGGAAGACGACAGTTTAGACTCAAGCAAAACCAATGTGATTTAATAAGTTTCTAATTAATTTTGTTCGACTTGTAACTATAATATTAAATACCCTGTGATGTTGTCTTTCCATACTATAGTTTTCTGGTTCTCACTGTAGCAAAATATCTAATTTTGATTAAACAAACCTTACAATTTTAACCAAAAATGATTCCTTTTTGATGTTTATCCAATGTGAAGAAATAAAAAATGTATCATATTAAATTGTTAATTATAGTAGCTTAACCACAAGAAACTTTAAATTTGAAAACTGTTGAAACAAGTGACACTCGGACCTCAATTATTTTAAAATCAACAGATATATTTAATTCCATTCTTGTATCTGATACAAAAATTTGTAAGTCACAGTTAAAATTATTGATTTTTAGATAGAAAAGCAATACTGATGCACGCAATTCCGCGCAATTCCGCACAATTCCACGCAATTCCGCGAATATTTAATTGCTTAGCGCAATTGCGCGCAATGAAACAGTGCAAGCGGAAGCAACCATTTCGCACAAATCCGCGCAATTCCGCGCAACGGAATTCCGATTGGAAACCCTATAAAAGGGTGTTTGTAAGGAATACCAAACCGTAGGTGTGTACTTTAGGTATATACAGTACATAAGAATCTCGGTATTTGTACAGTCTAGGAGAGTACATTTGTTTATTGTTTATTGTTTACTTAAAAATAAGTTTAATTTACATCTTTATTTGCATATTCAAGTCAACACTATAAGCCAAATTTTCATGCAAGGAATATAATTTGATTAAAGTTTTCAATAAACTACTCATTATTCAAGTTTAATTGACGACATTGTTCTGCGATTTCCTTGACTGTAGTCATGTTGTGTGTCTGTACCGAAAGAGTGTGCGTGTGTTATACCGAACTCGTCTGCAAAGCAGTGCGACTGGCTTTCTCTTGCCAGATCAGCGCCATTTTCTTTCCCTTTATTCCTATTCTGTGATAACCATGCAGGGCGAGATACGCTTAGTTTCTTCAATATTTGAATTCAATCGAGTTCTAGACTATCTATAAAACCTACGGATGTGCCTTTTATCTTTTTTATTTAAAACGCAAGTTTCATTACACTCTGCTAGAGTCTCTCTACTTCTAATTGAGTTCATAGTATTAACATAATACATATAGATAGATAGATATATAGACACTAGACAGTATACATCCAGACACAAAGATTTACAAGATAGACATCTCTGTATATATTTATAGATGTACATACATTCAGCTAGATATAGACAACTCTGAAATTTAGTCATCATACTATTAGACAGCCTCTACTTTAAAGCTAACGTTTAAAGTAAGAGTTATTGGAAAAATGTTGCTCAATTTTTGTTTGGGAGCGTATACACTGCACAATGATATATACATGTCTACATACAGACGACATACATACATACAGACAGTTAAACTGACAGACAGACAATTGTATACATGTATAAGAAAATCACATTAAACTTGTTGAGAACAGAATTATTTATAAAGCAATATCGTTTAAAGCGGTCTTCCACCAGTTCAGATAGCGATAAAATGAAGAGTTATGAGTTATCTATACATTTTATATCAGGATATAGCTATCTATCTATCTGTCTATACATTTTATATCAGGATTAGCTATCTATCTATCTGTCTATACATTTTATATCAGGATCTATCTACCTATCTATCTATCTATACATTTCATATCAGAATATAGCTATCTATCTATCTGTCTATACATTTTATATCAGGATAAAGCTATCTATCTATCTGTCTATACATTTTATATCAGGATTAGCTATCTATCTATCTTTCTATACATTTTATATCAGGATCTATCTACCTATCTATCTAACTATCTATCTATATAGCTATCTAGCTATCTATCTATACATGTTATATAAAGATACAGCTATCTATCTATACATTTTATATCAGGATATAGCTATCTATCTATCTATCTATACATGTTATATATGGATACAGATATCTATTTATACATTTTATATCAGGTCATAGCTATCTATCTATCAATCTATACATTTTATAATTTGTCTATAAACTTTTGTCCCTGCGATACAAGAAATTAATTCCTTGTATTAAGCGTTTTAAGCGTCAGGTTAAACAAAACCAGATAACAATGATGTGCTTTAATACATCTAAATTGTATAATCAACTTTAAAAGATTAAAAAGATTAGAAGTAGTAAGAATTTCCTTGCTGTACTACATGCTTGGAATTATTTAAAGATTTTGGTTCAAATTCTTTAATTTGTCCAAATATGGAACCTTACTCACTGATACTGTCAATTACGGAGATATAGATAGATAGATAGATAAATAGATAGATTAATAGATAGATAGATAGTTAGATAGATAGATAGATAGATAAATAGATAGATAGATAGATAGATAGATAGATAGATAGATAGATAAATAGATAGATAGATAGATAGATAGATAGATAGATAGATAGATAGATAGATAGATAGATAGATAGGTAGATAGATAGATAGGCAGATAGATAGATAGATAGATAGATAGATAGATAGATAGATAGATAGATAGATAGATAGATAGATAGATAGATAGATAGATAGATAGATGGATAGGTAAATAGATAGATAAATAGATTGATAGATAGATAGATAGATAGATAGATAGATAGATGGATATTATAGATAGATACATTGATAAATTGACTAGATAAGTAGATAAAATAATTGTACATACATACAAGCATGATTTCTTTGTATCTAACTATATATGTTTTTGTCTTTGAAAAAAGTCGTTGATAGATTATATCTTTCTCTAAATTGTCTTCAAAATTAGGCCTAATACTTAAAATGTGCTCTGTCCCATTTCCGAAGATTTTGATTGCTTTTTCTCTAAATATCGTTTTTTTTACTAAAAAGTATTACTTCTGAGTACAATGCCCATAAATTGCCCGTTAATGCCACAATTTGCTCAAAAATGCCGTTTTAATCTTCAAAATGTATTTGAAATGTACTCGGCCCCTTTTCATAAGATTTTCAAAAAAGTTCAAACATCCTTTTATTTCATTTATTTGATAAAATCCTCAATTATATTTTTGAAAATTCGCCATTGTAAAAAAAAATAAAATTATTATTTTAAATTTTTTGATCAACCACATTTTCGAAATATTAGGCCTACTTTTCAAGAATACAACGGCATTATAGAGAAAAATGTTTTATTTATGGATTTTGTAACTACTAGGAGTACTTTTTAACACAATGCAATGATGTTTCATAATCTAAATAGCCTAAACACTCTTTTTCCAGAGACACCCTGTGGATAAGCTTAAAAAACACTCTTTTTTCAGAAACACCCTATGGATAGGCTTAAGAAAACACTCTTTTTTTCAGAGACACCCTGTGGATAAGCTTAAGAAACCACTCTTTTTTCAGAGACACCCTGTGGATAAGCTTAAGAAACCACTCTTTTTCCAGAGACACCCTGTGGATAAGATTGAGAAACCACTCTTTTTTCAGAGACACCCTGTGAATAAGCTTAAGAAACCACTCTTTTTCCAGAGACACCCTGTGGATAAGATTAAGAAACCACTCTTTTTTCAGAGACACCCTGTGGATAAGCTTAAAAAACAATCTTTTTTCAGAGACACCCTGTGGATAGGCTTAAGAAAACCACTCTTTTTTCAGAGACACCCTGTGGATAAGCTTAAAAAACAATCTTTTTTCAGAGACACCCTGTGGATAGGCTTAAGAAAACAATCTTTTTTCAGAGACACCCTGTGGATAGGCTTAAGAAAACAATCTTTTTTTCAGAGACAGCCTCTGGATAAGATTAAGAATGGAACTTAGCCAAAAATATATTTTTACCTTTTTTTGATTGATTGATTGAAAACCAAAAATTTTGCTAAATTTAGATTTATTTTATTATTATTTACATTTTTATTTACACAAATGTTCATCCGAAGGTTGGTACACAGCTCCTTCTGAAAAACAAAGAAATTATTTTTTGTTGAACATTGTCATATATTAAAAAGTTTTGAAAAATAACCTAATTTACCTAATCAAACATAGTCATTACTTTGGTACTTAGTCATGTTAGTATTTTTTCCATATTGTAATTGTTAAGGGTGAGTTAAATTAACATAATAAATTAATGAATCTCAATTTCAACTTTTAATTGTGGCTTTATCTGTGAGCATCATTAAAAAAAACTTTGCGGTTTTCATAATATTTTTTTGCGCATTTTCAAAATTTGGGCCCGATCGGTTCAGCCGTTTTGACGTTTTTTTTTTAATACAAACAGACACCCAGACATGCAAAGTTTATATATAGATAGTTTGAAAATTAATCATTTAAATGCTATAACTCTACATAGACACATTATTAATCAAACTAACTAACAGAAATTTGATCTCAAAAGATTCGATTCAAAAAGAAATTTGATTAAATGTTGTTAACCTTGGTTTAAAAGGATTTAACAAAAATCAAATCACTCTTTGAATCAAAGGAATTGACTCTTTGCCACAAACTCTGAATTTATAATCCCTATGTCTTTGGAACCCAATGTCCTACATCTTTGATATTTCAAACGTCTATCATTTGATATAACAGAATTCATAGTTTGAAATATCTAAGGTCTACGACATTGGAATCTAAAGATATATGGTTTAGAAAAGTAGAGTTTATGGCAAAGACTCAATTCCTTTCTTTAATATCAAATTTCCTACCATGCATGCTTTATCCGAAACTACTCAACACACAATCCATCCTAAAAATGAGGAATGGTTTTTGCTCTACGTTAGATGGGAACTCTTGTATTGTGACTATCGAGATAAATGCTTGATCTCAAGCTTTGTTAATCTGCAGATTTGTCTAGTCTATATTCGATATTCTGCATGGTAATCATAACATCGTATGAAAGAGAGCCTTCACATGTAAAATAAATAGTTTTAACATAGACCCTAAAATTAAAAGTGCCCAATGGGCATATCGAGATCAAGCGAATGAGTATACAACAAAAAAGTTTCAGCTTTGGTCAAAGCTTAGAAAAATAAAAATCAATGAAATTGACATTTAGACATGGCCTCATACCAGTTCTTCATATTTAGACATGGCGTCATACCAGTTCTTCATATTTAGAGATGGCCTCATACCAGTTCTTCATATTTAGACATGGCGTCATACCAGTTCTTCATATTTAGAGATGGCCTCATACCAGTTCTTCATATTTAGACATGGCGTCATACCAGTTCTTCATATTTAGACATGGCCTCATACCAGTTCTTCATATTTAGAGATGGCTTCATACCAGTTCTTCATATTTAGTGTACAATCATTTGAATAACGCATTATAAAGAAAATTTAACTAAGCTGTTAGATATTAATAATCCTGATCTCCTGATCTTGATGTCTATTTTTTAATGTAAGAACCTGTAAAGAACGACACTATAGTTTCAATAGAAGTAAATATTTCCATTTTCATAGCGCCGATTGCAGGATTCATATCTCTAATTGGATGATGAATAGATAGAAAGATAGATGTAACCGCTATGCAAGTTCTATTGGTTCAGAATAGACAACAAACACATGACTGAACCCTGATTGGATCAGGCGCTAATGGAGTCGGCATACTAGAGTGACGATTAAAATGATTGAGATTATTGATCTTGATATCCACATTTACAAGAGATTTTTAAGTCTTTTTGAGAATAACAAAGATTTGTTATCTCTATTTCTATTTTAGTTATTCCTCCATTGATAAAAGCTTCCTTCAACCCCTGACTGGGTACGATTACCATCGTAAAGAGATCAAGCATTGATATTGATCTCCACAGTACAAGAGTTCCCAGCGCTTTTATGCATAGCTCTTTTTGAGATTTAAAAGATTTTGTTAAATATCCATTAAATTTAATAATTTATGATAAAAAAGCTTAACCTGTAACTGCTCCATATTCTACCCCTGAAATAACAATAAAATGTGTTCTTTCAAAATTAAAAAAAAAATTTTAAAAATTGTGGCGAGTTAAAATAAAACGTGAAAAATGTCGTTTTTCGTATACTTATAACTGTAAAATGATTTCATTTTTTTATTGGAGGATTTGAAATAATCCTTTTTTTGTTTTTCTGTTCTGTTGATGAACAAAAACGGATATTTAAAATTCGGTGATGGCGATGGACCAAACCTCTGTAGAGTAAAAAAGTAGATGTTAGTTCCACATTTATTGAAAATATATTTCGGTCTGGGTTAATCCTCGTCAGTTCTAACGGATATTTTTCCATTTTTACCATGTATGAAAAAACATATTTGTTTTGACTGCCTCTGAAAATTTCTTTTGCAAAAAAAAATGTTTTCTTTAATTATCTAAGAAACTGACCTGGCACAATCCTTTTTTTGTTTTGTTAGAAAAGACAACGGTGTAAGATTTCCACTGACTTTTTCACAAGTTAGTTTTTCATCTTCTAAAATATAAATTTGATTTAATGGCGGACTGAGCACTAATCTTTCTAATACTGATTATTTTAACCTTAGTCGGATCAAGAACGTATAGAATATCTGTATTTTTCTCACGAATACTGATTATCTTTAATTAAAGGTTCTCGTGGTGTGCGGATTTATGCTACAGAAAAAAGGTGTTAGGTACTTTGGTACTTTCCCAAAGGCATTTTCCCAAAGGCATTTTCCCAAAGGCCTTTTCCCAAGGGCGACTTCTCAAGTGACAATTTCCCAAGTGTGCAATTTCACTTAATGATTGTGATTTAATAACTGACTTCTAGTAAAACTATTTGCTTTGTAACAACATTTAATACACTTAATTATTACTTAAATTAAATTAAATTAAATTCAACTATTCAACAGTTTTCTTGTTTTAATTGTGTTACTTACCTATTGATAAAAAGTCTTTACATTTGATGACAGCTGGACTTTTCAACTAAACAAATCATAAAAACTTCAAGAACAGAAATCTATATAAAAACCAAGGGACATTCACAAGCAGCCGTAGTACATTTGAATTTCCGAGCCGGGTCAATCTTTCCGGTCCCAGTTTGTACTGTATCGCCTGGACATTGGGTAAATAAAAAAGACACTCAATAGGACTAGCCGGTGCAACAAGGTTGACGCGGTCAGACTTTAGGTTGAATTTACTTTTACTAAAGGGTAATTATGAAAGGTAACGACATTAGAAATGAAAAACGTCAAATGTTTGCACAATTGTGTTCTCGACGTAGCTAAAAAAACGTTTTTATCCGGCTACAAATCAGAATTAGGAATGGGCACCTTTTTTTTGAACAAACAAAATTTTTTAGAACAACCGAAAATTTTCTTAAAAATCGAATGAAATGGATCGTTTAGCTAGAGATGAAATATGATCGGTAAACAAAACGTAGCGAATGATTTAATATCGTTCAAATGAACTTGCAAAAAACGATTCCTTTTTTACTAAACAAACACATTTTTTAAAAGATTTGGCAAAAACTAACGTTTTTTACTAAACGAACGAACTTTTCTAAAACACAAAAGTTTTTTTTGAACAAATTTTTTGCTGAATGAACAATTTTATTGAACAAACGGTTTTATAAAACAAACATTCAGCTAAAAAACGAACAAAAAAGATGGAAAATTAATAAAAATCTTTTATAATGAACAAAATCAATCTTGAAGGATTAAAAAACCCGAACCATGGATCATTTACGACCTGTAAAACAAGGAAACAAGTCAAATGTGCCCATCTATAATCTAAAATGCAATTTTCATTTAGTTTTACGTAAATTTTTATAATTATGATTTCCTGAAAGCATTCCAGTTTCCCCTCATTGCTTACAAATAAACTGGTTCCTGCAGTACAAGGGTTGTTTACACATACACCCAGTTGAATGTGTACTTTTGACAATCTAAACAATTAATCTTAGCAAAAAACTTGTATTTTTAACAGACATTTTTAACAGACATTTTTAACAGACATTTTTAACAGACATTTTTGTTCAATAATCAAAAATTTATCACTGAACATTATTTTTTTTTAAATACTCTCAATCATGCAATTGAATATTTCTCAATAAAATCAATATCAGAATATCAACCAATCAATCGTAGATGCATCAAGTTCCAACTAATCAATCAATTCTTAAAATATTTAATAATTACTTGTTTAAAAAGTGTTCCCTCGCATGTTTCCTGGATTTTAAACAGCAGCTCTTAATTTTTCCTTCGTCAGAACATCTAAAAAATGTATTCCACTTTAGTTTAAGTAGAAGTAAATATTTCCATTTACTGATAGCGTCGATTGAAGGATTCATATCTCTAATTGGATGAGATAGATAGAAAGATAAATGTTACCGCCATTCTATTTCTATTGGTTCAGAATAGACAACAAACACATGACTGAACCCTGATTGGATCAGGCGCTAATGGACTCGGAAGTCAGCATACAGCAGTAGTTTAATCTGTTCCTTTTGAATAATTTGCAAATTTGATCTGCTCTACTGACATAAGGGTTTCCAATTGGAAATCGTTTCCCAAAAATTTCGCATTTTTCGCGAAATTATTTGTTTTCGTCGAAAATGTCGTACTTTTTCGCATTCCGTTCGTAAAAAAAGCAAACAAATTTCGCATTTTTTTCCTTCGGTTCGGCAAACAGATTAATGCGAAATTTATCGAAAAAAAAGCTATTTTGTGCAATTTTTCGCGAAATTGTGCATATTTTTCTGCAAAATTCTGCATCGTTTTGCACCCTTTAGCAAAATTTGCTGGAAACCCTACTTGACATTTAAAACTATTTTTGAACACTTAAATAAATGTCGAAGATTGTAATTTTGTTTAAAGTATAATAATGTCTAAAAAGGAATTTTTTTGGCAATACAAAAAAATCACCAACAACATTAAAACTGCTGACAAAAGGACCTCACAAATTAAGAAAAACCAACAAGGAACCCTACATTTCACTCCTGTATGCCGAATCCATCAGCGCCTGATCCAATCAGGGGTCAGTCATGTGTTTGTTGTCTATTCTGAACCAATAGAAATAGTTTGGCGGTAACATCTATCTTTCTATCTATCTCATTATCCAATTAGAGTTATGAATCCTGCAATCAGTGCTATATCAGTAAATGGAAATATTTACTTCTACTGAAACTATAGTGATTTCAGCTAATGCAAACCAGCCAAGATCTTGACAAACAACCAAAAGCCAAAAAACAAAGCTTATGTAAACTGTATCAATTGTGGGCGCTCTACAAAAGTTACTTGCGCATTTCTACTGCAGGATAACATTTAGGAATCATCAGAAATAATCTGAAGCAGGCATTGTAATCTTTACATGACGGGTAACTTAAAACTACGCTCACACTCCCTCAAACAGCAGCAATACAAACCAAACCAAACCTTTCGGATCAGCTTATGAAAACCAACCAAGAACCTTTCGGATCAGCTTATGAAAACTAACTAAGAACATCACAGTTTACACCAGCTTTTGTAACTCAATAAAGACCCAAACAGGGGTAGCCAGTACATTTGATTTCCCGAGCCGGGTCAACCTTTCCGGTCCCAGTTTGTACTGTGTAGCCCAGACATTAGTTAAATAAAGCAGACAATCAATAGGACTAGCCGGTGCAACAAGGTTGACGCGGTCAGACTTTAGGTTGAATTTACTTCTACTGAAGGGTCAGAGGTGCGTGCAAACGGCTAAAATCAAAGAAACTTACTTATGATTAAACTGATTAAACTTAGTTTCCAAAACGTTATTGAAAATATTTTCCCCCTCACTACACTGCAAATTAAACATCATCGTTAATAGTCGTGTTTTTTTGGGGATTAATTTGACATGAAAAAAAATAATATTAAAAGAATTAATAACTGTTTTGAATGTTTAAAGACTTATTAAAATAAAAAAATATTAAATTCACTAATCGGACTAAAATAAAATTAAGAAAAAATCATATTTGATGATTAATCAATTTTCCTTATCTTCGCAGCTGTAGTCTGCATCACACTTAACATCAGCTGAAATGTTAAAGATAAAGTTTAATTAGAAATTGGAAAAAAAAAAACTGTAATTAGAATAAAAAGAGGGGCAACAACTAAGATATTTAATTTATTTCGGATCAATTGGGTTCAGTAAATGCCTTATGGAATCTTTCCTGATGCTGTTTAAAATGATAAACCATTAAAAACTAGAAAAGCAGAATATTTCTTCATCGATTTTTAAATAAATTTACCACTAGATGCTGAAGGAAGTTAGTTATTACATGCAGTAAAAAGTTTACAGAATCATTGTTTCATGTGTAATAGATCCAGAATAATCACCCAATATACTTTTTCAGCTTGTAACACCTACATGTGTGTAGCACAGGGGGCTGAATCTTAGCTACCTCTCCGTGTGTATTGGCCTGAGTGTACACTTCGGATAGTTTACTGATAAAGGATGTTAAGAGATAATGGCATATTCATACAGTACAAACATCAAATATGCAGTACGCTTTCGGAGTACAAGGGTATGGGGAGGTTTTGTATCTTGAATTTTACTCAGTTTTCTCAGAACAGTTTATTATCGATGAAATATTGCTCTGTGAAAGCCTGTAATAGTACGTCTTCCTGTGAAAATGTAATCCTGCACACAAATAAAGGTGTAGTGGATTTTAATAGTTACATGGAAAACAAATTCTCCATTTAAATATTTTCAGAAATCACCCTGAGTACTGTAATATACAGATTGATCTTTGGAAGTGAAGTACATGGCCTGCATAATTAGTAAAGGATTAGCGTACATCATCACTCTATATACTATAACCTCGTTGGTGTAGCATCTAGAAAGTGGATTTATTCTTAATTGATTTAAGAAGATTTATGCTATTAACTTCTCAAAACTATATTGGCACCAAAGGCCGAATTTAAAGAATTTGAGCCACGGTTTAAATTTAAGCCGCGGCTTAAATATGGTTGGTTTCACATTAAATTGTATCAAATGTTTCAAGATTTAAGCCGGCGCTTAATTTAAACCGGGTTTTGGCGGATTTAAGCCGCGATTTAAATTCTTTAAATTCGGCCTCAGGCTATCAACTTATCATTCTTAACTGCTTCAGTAAATGCTTTTTTTATGGAACCAAATTGATCCAGAAAAATCTAAGAGAAATTTCTTTTTAAATGTAAAGTTAAAAAAATTACAGATTTTCCAAGATTGAAAAAAAGAAAAATTGGAAAAATCAAATATTCAAAGAAAGAAGAGATGTTCTCACTGTATCTGGCAGCTAATGCCTTTGGTAGAATAATTTGTCCTGGAGCACAGTTAGTTCCTTCCGTAAACTCTACTTGGCATTCACCATTCTCATCCTAATCAATCAATCAATCAATTGATCAATCAATCAATTATTACAATTAGTTCCTTCAGTAAACTCTACTTGGCATTCATCATTCTCATATTGATCAATCAATCAATTATTACAGTTAGTTCCTTCCGTAAACTCTACTTGGCATTCATCATTCTCATCCTCATCAATCAATCAATCAATTGATCAATCAATTAATTATTACAGTTGGTTCTTTTAGTAAACTTAACCTAAGATTCTTCATTCTCATCCTAATCAATCAATCAATTAGTCAATTAATCAATTTATCAATTGCCCAAACTATGAAGAAATCAAGTAGTTTACAATATAATTTAACAGTCAATTAATCAATTAATCAATTTAAAAATCAATGAATGAGTCCATTAACTTATCAAATCTCCATTTATTATGGGTCTTACCAAATTACATATTTCTATACATGAGCTGGGACAGAACTGATTTAATTTGACAAATTTAAACAAATGTATAATTGGTTACAAACTGACTAAACCCATCTTTAATTAGCTCTTTGTATTCAAAAGTTCCCACCAACCCTTCTTTTTAAAATATTGACATTGAATGTTACCTGAACTTGACCCACAGGGCAAGCACAATCAACACCTCCCTAAAATACTCAAAAAATTAAAGTTTAAATTTATTAAACATTAAAATGTATTCGTAATGAACACTCCGAATATAACATACATGGTGACGTTTTTTTAAATTATTTTTAATGATATTTTAAATTATAGTTGTGCAGTTTTGTGCTAAATTGAGAAAGGGTAAGCAAGACAAATTTAGAGGAATATCGAGCAAAAAAAATGTGCGAAATTCAGTTTAAATTTCCCCTATAATTTGGCGTAAGTGAGTGTGAGCTTCACAAATTTGATATTCATATGTTTTGGTAATTTCCATTCAACTTTAAAGGGACTGATCGGTAAAGTATGGTAGTTGAACTGAGTGTGCAGTAGTGTAGAACATTTGTTTAGGATTCATTTGAGACATATGAAATGCTTTCACGATGTATAATTACTGAGTTTGAGCGCAATACTGCATACTCAGTTCAACCACCATACATTACCGGTCAATCCCTTTTTTGACTATTTTAAAAATAGAATAACTATTCTCCATTCTATTTTTTTCATTGAGTTAAGTTTGTGCGGTAAATTTTGTTTGTTTCAGTTTCCAAATTACCTGATGATTTAACAAGGGATCCTGTTTCAGATCTTTACATGTCTTAGTTCCACATCTTTCTAGATTTATACATTAATCTTCACTTTTACCTTAACTTTCCCTTGAACCAGGGGTGTAAATATTCTCGAAAAATAATTTTTCTCCCCCCCTTTTTTTGAAAATCCCCCGAAGTTTAATATGCATGCTTGCAGCAAATAAAACCCGTTTTATGGTTTTATTGCCTGAATTAGGAAGAATAAATGATTTTTAGGAGAAAATCAATTAAGATTTGAGGAAAAAGTATCAAAAAGAATAAAAATATTGGATTTTGCTGTCCAATTTTTCATTTCCCCCCAATCATCAAAAATCATCCTCCATCCCTGAAAAATGTACATCGCTACCTTGACCTTACCTTTACCTTGGCATTGACTTTACCTTGACCTTGACTTTACCTTGACCTTGACTTTACCTTGACCTTTCCTTTACCTTGACCTTGACCTTAACTTTACCTTGGCATTGACTTTACCTTGAACTTACCTTTACCTTGGCATTGACTTTACCTTGACCTTACCTTTACCTTGACCTTGACTTTACCTTGACCTTGACTTTACCTTGACCTTGACTTTACCTTGACCTTGACTTTACTTTGACCTTGACTTTACCTTTACTTTGACCTTACCTTCACCTTGACCCTAACTTTACCTTTACATTGACTTTACCTTGACCTTGACTTTACCTTGACCTTGACTTTACCTTGACCTGGACTTTACCTTGACCTTGACTTCACCTTTACTTTGACCTTACCTTTACCTTTACCTTGACCTTGACCCTAACTTTACCTTTACTTTGACCTTACCTTTACCTTTACCTTTACCTTGACCCTAACTTTACCTTTACTTTGACTTTACCTTGACCTTACCTTTACCTTGACCCTAACTTTAACTTTACTTTGACTTTACCTTGACCTTGGCTGTACCTTGACTTTACCTTGACCATGAATTTACTTTGACCTTGCCTTTACCTTGACCTTGACCTTGACTTCGCCTTTACCTTGACTTTACCTTGACTTCAACCTCAACCTAAAATTTTCTAATCCCTCTATTTTTGCATCCTGAAGTGTAAGCCTTGAAATTTCAAGCTTAGAATATTTGATCATAGTGTGAAATATTTAAGGTCTACGACAAAGGATAATAAAATCAAAGTTTGTGGAAGATACTCAAATTCTTTACCTCCGTTCTCAATACAGTGCTCTTTACAGTGTCCAACTCCTGAAATCAAGAAAACTTAGAATGGTGAATGGAGAAGCAAAGTTCTATTAAGGAGAAGTTTTGATTTAATTGCCTGACCTGATCTGAACCCATCCCAATCCTTTCTGAACCCTAGTTCATGACCCCTTCTAAACCCTCCTTACCCCTCCTAACCCATCCCAAAGCTGTTTGCCCCTCCTGACCCATCCTGACCCTTCCTAACGCCTACAGACCTCTTCATACCTCCAATGATCCCTCTCCTAAACCTTCATAACTCACTATACCCCTCCCAAGACCCTACTAACCCCTCTTTGCCTCTCGTGTTCCCTTCTGACCCTAACCAGCCCAATGTGACCTCTCCTTACCGTTCTTGTCCTGTTCTGATATCTTCAACCAATTATGACGCCCACCTAAGCACCTCTTCCCTAGGGCTGGGCGTCGTTCCTGGGGAACGATTGTTCTTTCACAGGAACGAATGGAATTATCAAGAACAATCTCATCATTCCGAAAAAAAACAACGAACAAATAGAACACGTTCTTAAAACAACTATTAAAAGAACTAATGTGGAACAAAGAGAAATTGCTTGAAAAGAATGATAAAATCAGGAATGCGTTCTTATTATCAGGAACACTGAAGGTAGTATTGATTTAAGCTTTTTTAATGATTTTTTTAGTTATTGGCAAAAGTGAGATTTTAAAGTATTTTTATTTTTATGATGTAATTATACTTTAATGAAATACATGCGTAATTTCAAGGTATAGAGTAGCATTTCCGATTTACCTTTGAAACCTTCATTTCTCCATCCTTTCTGAAGCAAGAAATGCATTAGTCACTTTGTAGAGAAACCACAAATAAAAATATTCAGTTTTCATAATGGGAAGCATGAATATTTAATGCAATACTTGATCAGACAAAGCTTTGAAGGGTATTGTTGTGAATCAGAATTGACATTATGTCTGCAGTCACTTTAACCCTATTCCTGCTGGGGGGGGGGGGTTCNGTCAAAGAAGGGAACAAAACTGGGATGGAACCGTTCTCGACTAAGAGCACAAAGAACAGAATAGAACGGGATGGACCGTTCTTGACTAAGAACACCAAGAACAGAACAAAAGGGAACGTGGATGGAAGGATTGGACAAAGGAACGAACAAGGACGGAACGATCTAGGTGAAGGCCCTTGTTCTTGTTCTAGAACGGAACGATTTAAAAGAAACGGAATGTGCCCAGCCCTATTTCTGCATGATCCATGTACAAGCCCTTCTTACTCCTTCTAACACCTTCTGACCCAAGGTTGTATAATAAGGTGAGATACTCTGGATGCGCTCCAATATAGGTAAAGACGACCTTAACATCAATGGACACTCTTATACCTCATTTGGCGTCACTGCTTATTTATAAAAAAAAAAAATTTTGCGGTTTAATATATACAATATAAACGAACTCAAGAATTGCATTTTTAAGCTTTAAACTTGTTAGCACTATCAATATTTGTTAAATCAGATACGTCCATCGAGAGTATCTGAACTTATATACAACCTTGTGATGGCCCTTTTGACACAAACCTGCTCCTCCTGATTCCTCCTGAACCCTTCTGACCCCTCCTGACTCCTCCTAACACCTCCTGACCCTTCCTGGCCCTTCCTGTCCTTTCCTGGCACCTTCTAGCCCACTTGACCCATTCTGACCCCACTGAACCATCTGACCTATCCTGACACCCTCCACGACCCTTGACCCCTAATTACCCGTCATGAGTCCTGACCTGTTGAACCATTAACTTGTACAAACTTAAGATTAGGCATACAGGGACCCTGAAATAATATGTAGAAAGTAAAAAGCCAAAATCCAAAGTTCTGCAACAGAAAAAAGGGGAATTTTAAAAATTCCATTTTTTGAACGGTTAGCTAAATTTCAGATATCTTCTTCATGAAGGTGGTTTTATTTTGCCCGTTTGTTTATTAAATCTTTAAACTGTTAAACGAATGCCCAGCCATATTCTCAAATCCATTAAATAGAAATTTAAAAAATGGAGACCTGGGTGTTTGCTTCATAACATTTAAACTCAATTATATTTGTTAGTTTTCCCTCTTCCAGACAAAACTTAAATAATAAATCTTGATCTTGATCTTGATCTTGATCTTGATTTTAATCATGATCTTGATCTTGATCTTGATCTTGATCTTGATCTTGATCTTGATCTTGATCTTGATCTTGATCTTGATCCTGCTCTTGATCTTGATTTTGATCTTGATCTTGATCTTGATCTTAATCTTGATCCTGATTTTGATCTTGATCTTGATCTTGATATTGATCTTGATCTTAATCTTGATCCTGATTTTGATCTTGATCTTGATCCTGATCTTGATCTTGATCTTGTTCTTGATCTTGATCTTGATCTCGATCTCGATCTCGATCATGATCTTGATCTCGATCTTGTTCTTGATCTCAATCTTGATCTTGATCTTGATCATGATCTTGATCTCGATCTTGATTATGATCTAGATCTATAACGTACCTTCTATTTCACCTGGATCTAAAGCATACATCGTCTTTGTGACATTTAGAAGAAAACAGAAAAGTATTAAAATGTTCTGTGTATTCATATTATCTGAAAAATTATATTCAATATCATAATTTGTTGTTTAATATCAAGATATGGCTTTAGTAGATAACAAGTCAATTTCGAAATTTGAAAACACTGATTTGAAGAAATATCTAAAACAAAGAAAATAGAATATATATTAGAGGGGAATTTACTAGAAAAAAAGTGTAAAACGGCCATTTTGTTGTACTGTTTCCATACTGCAGGTGTACTTTACATATTTATGCTATATAACCTTTTGGGCCCTGGAGTATCAATTTATAGAAAATCTAAAATCAATATTAAAAGAAAACCAAATTATGAAATAGGCTGGTTTCATAATTGACCAATGATCATTTCACATAGACTCTATGCCTTTCACTTTACAAACAATGATTTTCCGTTATAACTATAAATCAAATGATGTTTTTTATTCACCTAATTAATTTTATAAAGTTTATTTAACAGTTTTTAAAAATTCGAAAGTCTAGGGAACATACTGTATCAATGTACTCTACTGCATATAATTTGTGAACATTTACATGATTTGTACACTTTGAACTCTCTTTCAGGCTGAAAGGGACTGAAAAAATTCATACCGAGAGATTCTCTAAATTCCCCTCTAATATACATTATATTCTCTTTGATCTAAAAACAACAGAATCTTATAATACATACATTGATAGAAAATGAATCATGATGGAGCGGAAAAATATATGTATTTAACCTTATCTAATAAAACAGAATAATAATTGTCTTAAAACATTCTTTAAAAAGAGAATATTTGTAAATTATCTTTTTTCCATATCGTTCGTTTCTAGGGTTTCCAACGTAATAGATTTCGCGTAATTTCTACAACGTAATTTAGCGAAATTTTGTAATTATTACGCTTAATAGGCAAAACTAAAAATTACGCGTAATTACGGCGTAATTTTGTGTAATTTTTACATCGTAATTTCGCGAAATTTGGAAATGATTACGCGTAATAGGCGAAACTATAATTACGCATAATTACGGCGTAATTTCTACGAGGTAATTTTGCGAAATTTTGTATTAATTACGCGTAATTAGCGAAACTTCAATTTCGCGAAATTACGACGTAATTTCTACAAAGTAATTTTGCAAAATTTTGCAATAATTACATATTTGAAATTTTGAAGTTTTAACTTTTAATTTAAATAAAACAACTAACTTACAAGGAAAATAATATCACGCAAGTTGAATCAGAAATTTCAGCCAATACTATGTTGATGTAATTTTCACGTTCGACAGCTAAAACGTTTAACAATTTTTTTTAAATAAACTTATTTGCTGGTTTATTTTATCCTATGGTTAAACACATTTTTTATTATCGATTTTGATGGTTATTACATCGTTAGAACTGATGAGGGTCAACCCAGACCGAAATATATTTTCAATAAAATATTGAACTAACATCTACTTTACAGAGGTTTAGTCCATCACCATCACCGAATTTTAAGACAGATTAATAATGCTTTTTTAAATTTTTTTTTTATTATTT